GTGTGTGTGTGTGTGTGTGTGTGTGTGTGTGTGTGTGTGTGTGTGTGTGTGTGTGTGTGTGTGTATCATAGGTTACTGCTAGCTCTGGCGCTGATCACTAAGTGCATAAAAAGCTCCCACACCTTCGTGGCTTTATGTAAGAGTAAACATTTGCCTCCGCGTCCATGTTTAGGTCACATGTGTGTGAAATAAAAGCCTAAAACTTTTAGCTGGAGTATATTTGGAGATAGTACAAAACCCCATTCATATGCTGCATTGTGTGTGTGTGTGTGTGTGTGTGTGTGTGTGTGTGTGTGTGTGTGTGTGTTCACCTGAGCTCATATATCTTTGTCTCAGTCCAGGCCTGCAGTGTGTATCTCCACTGGGATTCTTAGGTCCAGCTCTGCTGAGAAAGCACACACACTGAGTTCCTCTTATTTATGTCAGTCTTTCTCTTCCTTATGCTCTCACTTTACTTCCTGCCTCCTTTCCATTCTGCCTGCTTTGTTTCCTTTGCTGCTTAATGACCTTCATTTGTCCTTTGCTCCTCTGGTAAAGGCACATGCACACACAAGACAGTTGCAAGAGTGCGGCGTTTGAATAATTATGTTTGTGCGAGTTTGTGTGCTGGAAATAGCTGTGTCCCTGTATGCTGGTCATAATTAGCTGGGCTGGTGCTCTGAAGCTCTGTGCCGCCAAGACAGAATGCAGTTGTAAAACACAAGAATACTCGAATAACTGAGTGACACTTGAAGGAAAATCTTACATTTTCTAACTTTGATTTTTCTCTTTTATTCTTCTGTTTCCAGTGATCTCCTGTCTTCGGGCTATGTGGAGAGGCATTCATCAGAAAACGGGAAGACTGTCATTTCCAGTGTAAGATTCTGCAAATCATCTCCCCTCGTGCTCCCTCGCACTTGACATTAAAACCCCAAATTACCCCTGTGATTAAATTCTGCATCTGTTTTTTTTTGGATAAAGAGCAACTGTGCTGCCATCCTTTCCTGTGATGACAGCAGGCAGATGTTTTCAGTGTGAAAAGTTGGATGAAACTACTTTAAACGACCTTTCCAGCGTTAGCAAAGTTAGCAACTAGCTGGTGAATGTACAGAGTGTCAAGGAGTGAAAGTGCTTAAAGAGTAAAAGAACAGAACAAAACCTCATCAGGTCTTCAGAAAACCTCCAGAATAATCCAATAATCATGTTGTTGATCAAGTATTTTCTAAATATCTAAATATTATTTTTAAATATGTTTTTACAAAAATCCAAAACAAAAGAGTACAAATAAGATGCCTTTGGCCAAGGAATGGGAATTGTTAAGAATTGGGCACTTCCGATTCCATTATTGATATCACTTATTGATTCAGTTCTGTATCCATTCTCATTGATTTCTGATTAGCGACTGACATCGCTAATCAGAACATCAAAGACATCACATTCATGCAAAGTGATCTCATGCTGTGGGTCAAACGTTTGTTTGTGTTGGAGGTGTTTCCCTTTGTTGTGATCAGTGTTGGGGTCGTCACTCGGAAAAAGTAATTATTACAGATATCACACCGAACACTTTTCTTTAAAGCAATGCAGTACTTTACTTAATTAATCCCAGGAGAAAGTAATTTTATTACAGGACTTCTTACATTACTTTTGCTTTTCTCCGTGAAATGACCTGAAAGGCATTGTCTCAGAATTACCATTTATCTATATAAACGTGTAGGCTACAGTCTCACACACCATGTCTACGCTGTAGACTGCGCCGCTATTTTTCCTTCTCCGGCACACAAACTGAAATCAGCTGGTGCAAGTGCAAGAACCGCTAAGCGGGGTCAATAAACAAGCGGACTAACAATTCCAAGGAACTGAACTAATGGGAACCAATTTGCTACAAGAATCAGCTCTTGATTCCCATTCCTAGTTTGGAACATTGACATCTTCCAGGATTCCACCCACGCACACTTGCTTATCAGTGATTATCTTCTCCTGCACGTCTGGACCAGTGTCAGAGCCCCTGATCGCTCCCTGTCAGTCCTAATCTTACGTGTGTACTTAGTACTTACATGTGAACTCTGTTTTCATTGTAGACCGACATGGAGCAAATTTACACTTTCTGTCACAAAGAGACAAAACAGCACTTCCAGGGAGTGATACAAAAACATCAGCACCACTGAAACTACCCAATTAACACATCAGGATTCAATCACAATGTAGGCAGACATGAGAACGCGAGAAGCGTTACCCATACCGAGTAAAGGTCGGATGTCATTATCAAAACAACATTTGCAGACACTGCTCACATGCTAACACCGGGTGAGTAGCACAGCAGGGAGGTAGAGATGTCTGATAGTAGCTCTCATGCTGTTATGTGTGCAGCAGCGAAGCTGATGGTTCCACTGTCGACCCTATGTGTTATTCTCCCTCCTTGAGTTTTTTATTGGTTAATCAATGAGTTAAGTTTTCCACACAGAGATAAACCACTCCTCATTCAGCTGCCTGGTCTCTTTGATAGCTCGATGAATCTTCTGCAAGCGTCGACTAACGCAAGATTAAGATTCCTGTGATAATCCTCTAAAATCTGGACTTCAGTTACAGGACACCCGCTGAGGCATGGAGGGACATCATATAAGTAGCGGGGATTATAATGGTCAGGAATTACGCAGCTAAGCAGCAGATTAGTGAGATATTAGATGCTTTACAGCGAATGATCCAAACGATTACATCACACATCGTACATTATGGTCACCTGTAATTATGGCTCATTATAAGGCAGTCTGTAAATTAATTAATCTTGGAGCTGAATATCCACAACTGCAGCCCATCTGCACTCTTCTAATGTCATCGTTTCCCTTTTAGTAGCAAAGAACAAGAGCCTCTTTTTGATTATTAATGCTTCTGTTCATGGAGGTTAATATGAGACAAGCCCTGGTTGTTACTCTGCTCACTGTGGAGGGCAAAATGTCAGCCGATGTAACGCAGCTGCTGCTCTGATAGATCTAGGTCAGAATCCTCCAGTGCTCATGTAGCCCATACGTAATAGAAGTAATACAAACTCCTGAAACTGGAAGCATTCAGGCTTTCTGTCCACGGTTTACCTTCAGTGCAAGGAATGAATGACAGGCTCCTTATCCTCGTTCTGCACAAAACACATCACATAGAGCAGATGCTATTGGGTTTTATATGGGATGTTAAACATGGCACCTGTGACACGATGATGGTAACAGCCAGATGTGGCCCAAACATCACAACACACATCTGTCGGTGGAAATCAGCCAATTCCAGTTGATGGATGGTCAATCGGTGTGCCTATAGTCCACATTAAGAGATGTGGGTCTGCAAAGCTCTATGTAGCATCCATTATTGCACTCATAGTCTCAACATTAACAGACATCATCTTTAGTTTATCACAACACTGTCATCGTGGTTAAGTCGGGTACCATCAAGCAGCCATAAGACACTATAAATCAGTTTCTCGTCCTGAAAGCAGAGGAGGTCAATTTTAGCTCATCCAACCAAAGGACTGATGAGATTATGCCATGGTCACATCTTTGGAAACGCTGTGATATCTTTGCACATCCATCTCCTGCTTTGTGAGCATCAGCAATGTTTTTTCTCAACTGTAAGCTGATTTCTTTTGTTTTTTGCCTTGATGCTTTCTCACGTGACGTTTTTATACTGTGTGTAAATTGAAGATAACGTACTTGGTTTTACAAGCTTTGAGCGCTACAAAGTTAAAGCATATCATTGCACAGCAGTGGTTTGTTCTATGGCTCAATAAAAAGATACATTTTTAAGTTGGATAATAATACTAACCATGGTAAAAAAAAAAAAAAACAACTTAAATATTGTGTGCAAATAGAATTAATTTGCACTTTCTAAAGTAAACTACTAGTGTTGTTTAAAAAAAGTATATGGGGAAATTTTTGATGAAAAAAATAAATTTTTCCTTGTTAAAATACTTTCATTACCTTTTAATTAATCTAAATGGTGATTTCTATGAACAAAAAAAAATAGAAAAGCCCCAACAAAAGCTTTTTTAAAATACTATGTCTATAAGAAAAGCTTTGAACCAACAACTTTAAAGTCAAATTTTTGACTTGATCCTCACATTTAGGCTTGTTTGCATTTAATCCAAAACTGTGCGATTAGTAGAAAACATACCAGTTTGATTAAGGATCCTTTTATTGAGTGCACACTGTACCCCTGCATATTGCTGCAAACTTTGGTTTTGTGGTTTTGAGGAAATACTGCACGCACAGAAATGAACTCGATCACCTAATGAGGAGTAAAGTACAGCAAAGTGTGTCTAATGTCCTTATTTCCTTGCATTATGTGATCGCGGTGGTCAAAGTTTCACTGACATTCAGAGGGCAGAGCGTCCTACTTGTTTACCGAGTGTCTAACCTCGACCTTTTTGTTGTGCATTGTGTTGTCCAGATAAGATGATTAATTATCCTCGCATGTGTCTTAAGAGATCACAGATCTCACAAATTTAGCAACACAAGCTGAGGATGTACCCACAGTGCTGATGTTGGGTGTTTCTTCCTTTGATGAGAAGTGGAGCAGAAGGTTCAGGGCGACGGAAAGAGGAGAGACGCTGGGATAGTGGAGCACAGCGCCACTTATAAATAGCCCTCTCTGTCTCTTCGCTTCACACTCGCTCTCTGTCTCTTTACTCAACCTCTTTCTCTTGTGGCTCTATTTAGGTTTATCTAGCAAACCTTTCATATGCTCTGACTCTCTGCTAATGTAAAAAAAATCCCCTCTCTTATTACAGCGGTGGCAGCCTGCTGCTAACTTGCTTGAATCTTATTTTTCTATTCTGGATTTCATGGATAGGGCATTATGAAAATAGCGAGAGGCAGAGTTAGTATCGCGAAAAGGAAACCGATAGCTGAATGTGATTTAACTGGAAGTTGCAAATAAGTGGTTAAAAGGCAGGAACACAGAAAGAAATCAGTCTCAGCCTGATGGGTGCAGTTTCACTTTGATAATTCAAAGATGATTGTTTATGCAGATGACTTCCTCACACTCACACATGCACTCGTCTGTATTACCACACATTTCTAAAGTCTTCAGTTTGAGTCCTGTAAAGTGTAAACTGCATGAATGCCTGATTCATTCAAATGAAAAAGACATTTTAGTGATGTTGTAAGCCTGATTCTTGTCTTTACCCACCACTCTAATTCATTGGCTAAATGCTTTGAATGCACTACAGTTTGATTTAAATGCATTTGCTTTATTTCTCTACTGTATCTAATAAATATATTAAAATGAATGACTTTAGATAAAATGGATGTGCCTTGTTTAAAGGAAGTGTTGATACTGTGCTGAACAACGTTTTCCTTACAAGGTTTTAGTTCAGAGAGTTTTAGCTCCATCTTTGGAAATGCAAATTGTTTGTAGTAACGTCTTTGTTAATTGGGATTTCTTTTTTTTTTTTTGTTTAATTTGGTCCAAGTTAACATGAAAATGTGTACCATCCACCCATTTTCTTCACCACTTGGCAAGTTTAGAGTCACAAAGGTCACTCTGTCTAAAGGTGGGGTACACCGTGTACAGGTTGCCAGTGTATCACAGGGGTACCACACAGAGACAGACAACCATTCCCACTCCTGGAGTTATGACGTGTTTATGCTTGCTGCTTGGCCCCTGTCATGTGGTGGCACATGCGAGTTTGATGTCACATCCTCTGCCACGCTTCACCTTATCTGTGGTTCTTTGGCCGACCACTAGTTAATCTTAACATGCATGTCTTTATACTGTGGGATGGTGCAGGAGTACCTGGAGAGAACCCATTCAGGCACAGATAGAACATAAAGGCTCCAACCAGCAGGTGGGTTTTGAACCCAGGACCTTCTTGATGTGAGGCAACGATATGCTGTATAAAAATGATAGATTTCTGTCAAAGAAAAAAGGAAAAACTCTTTGCTGGAACAGTTGGGTTTAATTGACTCCTCACAGGAGAGGGCAGAGGCAGATGAAACCCTGATTTGCTTGAGGACTGCTTTAATGTCCCTTTGTCCAAAGTCAGGCAGATAAAAGTGCATTTGAAAATTTGTCTTGCATGCGCCGCACTCTGAACTCAATCCCGTCCGACACCTCACTGAACTCTGCTGTAGGATAATAAATCACACAGATTTCCACATGCATGTGTAGTTCAACAGTGTGCACATGCATGCATCCTAACAGAAGCTTGTGCATCAGGATGGGGTCTACTCAGAAAGCTGGAGAGTGGAAGTGGATCTAGAGGTGCATTGCTGTGCACATGCAGAAATTGATCCTCTGATAAAAGCTGCATTTCCTCAGGGAGAACTGCTTCCTGCTTAATGGCTGTTAGGTAGCAAGAAATGGACCAGGAAGAGATGGCCTGCCTGCAGAGCACTTAGGTACTTAGACATCATGCACATCTATAGACGATAAATGTGTGCAGAGAGACACGTAGATCAAGAGTGAAGACAGAGAGACGGAGATGGTAAAAATCTGACTTCCTGCTGCGGAGAAGTTCGGATAGAGGAGTGAAGTCGCTGAGGCGTTAGCGCGCAGATGGTCAGATGTGAACGTGCAAAGCTCAAAGTGCAAATTGTCAAACAAACACGCGAACAGTATATTCACATATCTTCAACAGAGCTTACTTGCACTTGCATGTATTAGCAAATGAATTCTGTGTAATGGATTGCTTTGGACTCATTTCCTTGTGGTGTCCTTGGATCAAAGATGGTCCCTAGGTGAACGGCAAACAAGCATATGGGAATCCCGAGGACACCACAAATTAAATATGGTAGTGAAGAGGGGAATATTTCACTTCATCATGTGTGTGAGCTTCATCTGTGTGTATTTGTGTGTTTCCACACAGGGCGGAGAGCACTGCTACTATCAAGGAAAGGTCAGAAACATCCCTCACTCCTTTGTGGCTCTCTCAACCTGTCACGGGCTGCAGTAAGTACAAATAATACAGATGCGACTTTTTATATGCATGTGTGTGTTTCAGCCTCTGTTCTAAGTCCTGCTCCCATTTTTTCATTAGGTTAATGTAATTAGTTTTAGCCAGGCGTCGCTGCCTGTCTGCATTTTAGGTTTCATAGGTTATCACTCTGGCAGACGGACAGACAGACAGACATCTTCTCTTCTTCTCTTCTTCCTTTCCTGTTCTCTTTTCTTTTTTTCCCCTTCTCCTCTAGCCTCCACTAACGTTGGTATTTTTAGCTTTTTCTGCTTGAGGCGAGACGGGTCAGAAACAAGGCCTGCTGTGAGGGATGCATGCACACTTTATGCTTTCTAAGTCAATGTATGTAGTCTCCTGTGTATATATGTGTGTGTATATATACGCATGAAAAGAGGCGAGACGCTCTCCATCCCGCATGTGAGAAATTCACTGTTTGTTGGTGGATTTCATTGTTTGCACAGAAAGCCGCCGTGAATAACAAAGCATCAAACGTGCCTAAAATGAGAACCGTGTTTCCACAAAAAGTTACAATGCCGTGTGACATTTAAATAAAAAGAGAATGCTAATGATTTGAAGCCTATATTTAATTAAAAATATACAAATACAACTTACACAGAGGAGACCAGCTGTTGTATTTTCATGTAGGACTTCAGCTCCTCAAAGGTTTGAGGTCTGCTTTGTTTGCTTTTCATTTCATGATGCACCAAATTTTTAAGACTTATTTCTTTGTTTGCTTTATCGTGTCATGGAAAATAAACGCTGCTATGAAAAAGATGTCATCCGGAGGGCTGCATCTTATCATCTTATCTTTAAAAAAAACAAATAATCACTATGGTATTCATTCAGCACTATCGCTTTTTATCCTTGATCTATGACCTAATTCTATTATAACGTCCTTATTGTCATCATGCTTGCTTGCACTGTACGTGTCTTTTATTTTTATTTTTTATGTGAAACTCTTTTGTTTTTATGTAATTTCATAAAAACCACAAATAAAGTCTAGTCTTAGCAAATGCTTGTCATAAACGTATATACACTTACCGGCCTGCTTCATTGGGTACACCTGCAAAACATCTAATGAACCAATCACGTGGCAGCAACTCGTTTAGACATGTAACTCAAGATGAGCTGCTGAAGTTCAAACCGACCATTCAAACCCAAATGGAGAAGAAAAGCAACTTTAAATGATAAAAGTGACTTTAAATTCTGCATGTTTTAAGCTTCAACACTTGATATTTTGTACTTTTTAAAAAAATGGCCTGTATTTATATAGCGCTTTACTAGTCCCTAAGGACCCCAAAGCGCTTTACATATCCAGTCATCCACCCATTCACACACACATTCACACACTGGTGATGACAAGCTACATTGTAGCCACAGCCACCCTGGGGCGCACTGACAGAGGCGAGGCTGCCGGACACTGGCGCCACCGGGCCCTCTGACCACCACCAGTAGGCAACGGGTGAAGTGTCTTGCCCAAGGACACAACGACCGAGACTGTCCAAGCCGGGGCTCGAACCGGCAACCTTCCGATTACAAGACGAACTCCCAACTCTTGAGCCACGATCGCCACAAAAATTTAAAATGAGATGGAAAAATAATTTCTTGAAAAGAGGCCAAATTTTCTCCAAACATTTTTAATCAAATGTCAGACTGTCAACACCATAAACTGCTGTATATTTTGAACTTGTTGCCCGATGTTTTTTGGATTAACCGTCATCAGTTCTTGTAGTCATGTAAAGAAAACCACATAATAGGAGCTCCTGGTCTGAATTAACCTTCTGCCCATTCAGTGTACATTGTTTAATCTAATTATCAATTTCAGCTGTTTCAGAGACCATGATTATTTACTTCTGATCCATTACGCAGTCTCAAAGCTTTCTCCCACCGAGTATATCTTGTTTCAACATAATACCAAGCCAAATAGACAGAGTAATCAGTTTAGACATGTCTTTCCAACTAATTAGGGGAAGCAGGAAGAAGCAGACTAATATCTGCTGAACAAGCTAAACTAAAGTCCAAGCCTTAACTCTTTTTATTCTTAAAGTTTTTTTGTGTGTTTCATGAGAGTTTTGCATGAATTTGGGGAAAGTTGTCAGTACAGCAAATTATAAAATGCTGGATGCAAAATAATGAAAAGAAAGCAACTACCAAATAATTTATAGTATAGTTACCTGCAGTGAAATCTCATATTTAGAACGCAAGAGGTTGTAACGGGATAGAATCACTGAACTTTGAAATTCGTAATGAGGAAAGAAAGAAACACCAAAATGTTATGTGTGTGTGTGTGTGTGTGTGTGTGTGTGTG